TTTGCAGCACCTAAAATGTTATCCGCATAAAGAAATTGCGTTGTACTTGTATTCCAAAGCGCAATTACAGGACTTGGCAAAAAGCCAAGAGAGCTGCACGCGACCGCGCCGCGCGGACGGTGTTAGAGTTTGCGAAATGGGCGGTGTAGCAAGGAATTACGACTTTCCCACGGCCCCGTACTCTGACCCCGTGCAGTTTTGGGCGGGGGGACCACGACACATCGACAGCTGGGGGGCTGATAGTCTCATACACCCTCCTGTCCCTCAATGTGTTTGAGCGTACCATGTGTCTTTAAGTCTCAACACACGCCACACTCCTGGCGTCTCCGTTTCAATTCGTCAGTTCAGTTTCGGACGGAAAACTATTGAAGAAGACATGAGTTCATTAGTTACCTCAGGAGTTTCGGCGAGCACTTGGATAAGGGCTAACTTCAACGAGTTGCTTGAAGCTTTATATGAGCACTGCCAACAAGCACGCTGTCGCTTGAGCGAAGGGCACCTATAGATCTAGTCTATCCCAGGTTCATGTCGTTAGGTCAAATGGGTCATCAGTGGCGCCGCCGCAAGCTATTCAATCAAAACCGAGAGCTCTGTAGATACACCGGACATTCAGCATTGTCATTTAACACTAGGCTCAAACTAGGGCATGTGATTAGTGTTACCTGGCATAACTCGGCAAGACGTCCCTTCATCTGCGGCACCTCGTAAAGCTTTTGTTCAATTTGTCGCTTCTCATCTGCAAGCGATAATCGCTCGCCGATTGTCGAATCGTTAAGAGACCTCAACTTATATCCACCTTCACCGTCATACTGCAGTAAATTTGTATGGAATTTCCTGAAAACATTTAATCTATGAGTTTCACAATTACAAGATTATCCCTTACTATTATCGATCAACAATAAAATTGGACCGCTATTGCTGCAGAAACCCGCTTAACACTCTGCACAAGCTTTGAGCTCGCTCCGTGGGTCCTACTCTAGCAAGGGTAGGCGAAGTCACTGTAGCCGAGAACCTGATGCGCATACTCAGAGTGGAATCACCACCAGGGCTAGCATCCACCTCGATAAAAGTCCCGGATGACCACGGAGGGAAACTGGGTTTCAACGAAACAATCAGGTAACCGGTTAGGAACTATCTTTGCAACATACTCCTAAGCTAATGCCATGCAGTTCAGTAAAGTCATTCCTAGACGTTCGCTTCTCCTTGCATTTAATTTATAAAGTCATCAGTGACATTGTGATCTCTTTCTTGTACAGTCTTATACCGAAATGGATGGGCGGGGCTGCGTTCTTCATTAGAATATGGCGCAGGATGCGTTTCTACTGAGAAATTCCCTGTTGAAACACTGTCTTCTCGCAGACAAAGATATGGTACAATTGCTAACGAAAATGTCCTGCCGGACCGCGTAGCCGCCGCCACGAAGTACGCAGCTTCCTCCTCCCCGCCTCCGCGTTGATGGACACCCATGGCTCGTTGCGGCGAATGGATGGTGCGCAGCCGCATAGGCGGAGTTTTGATTTCAACTATTTCTTTGAGTAGAGTACGCAAAGATCGCAAGTTAGGTTATATTGGCTTTCTGGTGGTTGTTGACCAACATTCTCAAACTGTCGTGCCCACTGCGACGCGACGACCCAACCAACTACAATTACCTTGACCCTCTCCCCTTTCCTGGTGGCAGCATGAGAGGTGAAGCCCTCCGTAAGACACAACTCCACGTTCTGATTCCCCGGTAACCGATACCTCCCACAAGTGGAAGCCTCTATGGTACGATAATTGTACCGACTATTTGGTAAGACTGATCCGCAGTGTAAGGTACAGTCGATGTCGCCGCATTTAGCCGGAGCGGTGACAAGAGACATCGAATGGCCCATTGGCGACGTTTTCACCACCTCTAGTTTCTTCTTGAAACGATCACTAACCGATCATTATTGGTGAAAGAAAAAACAGCCGGGGCAGACCCATTCATCCCCTCCTGCCCTGCCTCGACCGTTTGCAACGCTGTCAGCTAACCACTGCACAATGCGGTGTAAGACAACAGTTTTCGCGGTAATTTTCGAAAGAATAATTCAAAGCAGTCTACAAGTTGACCGGAATTATCTTACCAAGACATCGTCTTCGGGTGAGTTAACAGTGAGCAAAGTGATTCCGCTGTCTTTTATCGCCTGGTATATACTTCCTTCCACATCGATCGACACGGCCGACGTGCACTCGTCAAGAAGAGCGTACTGCGGTCTGTAACCTATCACATATGACAAAAAATCTACATGGATATTATAGAGTCTAGGACTGCAGAATCGCTAGAAATCTGGTGCAAATAGCTAATCGTGAAGGATAACTAAAAGAAAACATGGTTCGACTATGAACAGTCTTCACTCACCTGTGGTAGAATACCCTAGCCAAGCCCATACGTTGCTTCTCTCCACCAGACAACAAATCCATCCAATCGTGCTGTGCATCCCATCCTTAAACTTCAGCTTCACCTTCTGTGAAAGGAGTCAGTCAATATTAACGGGAAAGAAGATGATATAAAAAACAGCAGTGAATGCCTGAGAGGTTCATGGAGCTCTGTAGTAACTAATATTTAGTTGAGAGGAATGTTCACAATAACTGAGTACGCAATACCAACAGCAAATTGACACTGCACGGATAGTAAAAAATAAAGATGAGGTTTTTGCCATCTATGTGTCCCTTTTTGAGATGCGGCACGCAATCTACTCCCACTTCGAGTCGTAGTGAATGCAATGTGGGCTATAAAGCGGTCTGTCGGGAACACTCGATGTACAAGTCAGTGTTCTTATCCTGCCAGACGAGTCTGGTACAATCTACTGTGCCCGCAGGGTAGTAGCCTCGGTTGTCCTAGGTGGCAACCAATCCGGGATTCATCCTTACCATCCTCATACCGCGAACATGGTAAGCGGGCCATTTACCACTATACTTTTTCTACCCCTTAAAGGCAGCGCCCGCGTTCATTTGTTGTTCTCACGCCCTCTCTGGACCTAGTAGCTCCCCCTATGAGGATGGTGGACGTGCATGTTTCGCAACCCAAAAATGCGACGGAACAGCGGCGTCCGCCCGCAAAGAGCCGACGGCTCCGCCCACCTGCCGACCACGCCACCCAACTTCATTTCTAATGGTTGCCTGATGGTGCGGTTGTTCCATTGCTGCTTCTCTCCACGTGGAGTGGTGAGAGTGAGGTGATAAGGGAAAACAGCTGATATCAACAAGTGGAACTCGTGCAATCACTCCTTCTCTTCG